CAACTCATATATTTATCAAAACATGAAACCATACTTTGAAAGTGCTTCAAAAGGACCCAGTCGAGGGACAGCGTGGTGCGCCGGAGCGAAGGGGCTGGATACCGTTTGCAGGTACTTCGGCCAGAGCTTTGGGGAGGCGTTTGCGATAATTGCTCCCCAAAGCACTCCATGATCATAACTGCAATGCCCCCCACCCACCCGCATGCATCTGAATGATACTTTCCCGACACTGTTTTCCATGTCGGAAAAAGCACCCAGCCAATTTGGGAGGGCAATTAGCGTGGAAATGAGACAGCAGCCACGGACTATAACGGGCCATTTTGAGTGTCACTTGTCTGTGAAACTACGCAAGAACTCAAGTGATGTATGCCTGTGGAAGGGGGGGGGTTGTACATAGATCATCACAAATGAAGTTTCTCTGTCGCACACACACACACACGAAGACACACACTTTGCTGTTTGTCACTGTGATCAGAACAAGCAGAACTGCGGCCTGTTTTTAAGTCATCCGAGAGAGCCAATTCTGTGCCTTCTCATGGTGTCAGAACGAGAACAGCTCTGTCCAGGAGTGGAAATTCAACATTTCCTGGGCGTTGACCCATCCTTGCTACTCCTCAGCACCGTGATGGTCTCCTGGTCTGCTTTGCTATAAGGACAGGGTCATCTCCAATGGCCAGTGGTGTCAGTACGAGAACAGCTTTGCCCAGGAGTGGCGTTCCACCAGGGAAATTCAACATTTCCTGGGCGTGGACCCATCCTTGCTACTCCCCAGCACCGTGCTGGTCTCCTGGTCTGCTTTGCCTATAAGGACAGGGTCATCTCCAATGGCCATTTTCAGCAACTGTCCAAGGAGGCCTTAAAGGTCATCTAGTCCAGCCCTTTGCCAAGGCAAGAATCCAAAATCTAGGGAAGGAAAAGGGGAAAAAAGCAAGGGAAAAATCAAATGAACTTGGAACAGGCTTGAAAAAGAGTTGAAATGGATTTTTGCTGGGCTCCTCTTGTATATACTATTTCTATGCTTTTTGATGGCTGTGTGAGTCCTTGCAGAGTAAAATGCCGTTTATGCATTCATTGGCTCGGCCGTTTGTTGCTGTTGAAAACGCCGGGCAGAGACCTTTGAAACGTAACATAAATGAACAGTGCAGGAAGAAACAAATGAACAAACAGTTTAAAGTGGTGTTTGTTCACCCTGGCCTGCCGCCACCAACCTCTCAGCCTCCAGAACAATCTACTACTTGGTTACAGAAAATGGCTTCATGACTGGTTGTGTGAATCATCCTCCTTCCTGGTTCCATGTTGTTCAGGAGGTAAAAGCCAATGAGAGGATTCGGAGATGTCCTCTCCGGGGTGTGTGTGTGTGTGACTCGCCTCATTTCCCATTCAGAACCCGGAGGAGGGATGCTGGTATTCCTTACGAAGCAGGCTTGGTGCTTAAACGGAAGTTGGGGCAGAGGGCTTAGGCACGCCCCATGAGTCCTTGTGTGTGTGTGTGTGTGTGGGTGGGTGTTCTTACTTTCTTTGCACTCTTTCCTCACGTGATCTTGCAAGCACCAAAAAATATCCCCAGCATTAAAACTATTAGAACAGATGAAGTGTGCAGCTCCAAACGACACAGTGAATTTCAGGGGAGGAAAACAGAGCGTTAGCCCTGCGTAGGTCTTGGGGCCAATATTCCGCCACCCCCAAATCCCTTGCTAAAGGGATTGAGGGTGAGTGAAAACAGAAGTGGTCAGAAGTCCATGTCTAATTTTTAACAATTGGGATTTGGGTAGGGCTGTCAGGAGACCCATTTCTGCAGCCGCTGTTTCCTCTTTTTGGCCAGAGAAAGAAGCAGCCACTGGAGCAGTGGCCAGAACTGCATCATTTCAATTTATGGTGACCCTTTTCAGGGTCTTCTAAGTCAAGAGTACTAAGAAATGGTTTCCCCTTCCCTTCTTCTGGGAGGGGAGCCCAGGGACGACTCCGCTGTTTGTCCCCAGGGCTACACGGACTGGCTGTCTTCCCGGTCCGGTGGGGAGTCGACTCTCTCCACCATACCCAACTCACTGAGCTATCTATCCAGCCATCCAGGGGAGAGCCAGGGCCTAAAAAACCCACCTGTGACCCAGGGAGATGCTTCCTGCAGCTAAGAGTCGTGACCAAATGGAAAAAACTCCAGCTTGTGCTTCTTATCCTGGCATTAAATGGGTGGCCTTTGAGGACAGGGAGTCCTAAGCCCTATACGGAAAACATTTCCAGGGTGGAAATAAAATATCCCACAATACTATCCTCTTGCCTGCCTCCCTCCCTCCATCATCCTCCCTTTTCCAGCAGGCCTGGCTCATGTAGCCTATCCTGAAAGCGCTTGCCTTTATTCAGTTTGGGGGAGCAATGCAGCTGAAACGGGCCTGAGAATATAGAATTTCTCCAGGGTTTTTCCCCTCTGATGGCAGTTCTGTCCCACACCCCTCCTTTGTCACTGAGTCACCTCACTTTTTTCTTTTGATTTCTAAAATCAAATTATGTCTTTTAAACTCGGTGCTAATGGATCTCCTGCTTGAAGGAAAGCAGCTAGCCGGTTTCTTATACTAAGTAGGTGACATTAAGCACAATCTTTTATTCTTTTAGCAGGGCAATTTGGGAAGATTTGCAGAACTTCCCAATGCAGGATGATGGAAGGAGCCGCACCCCCCCAAAAAAGCCCCTTCTGCCTTGAAAAATAAAGCAGTAGGATGATGAGGCATCTTGCTCTGAGGCTTGCCATTTGCTTTAAATTGGTTTATGAAGAAGAATGAGGCTAGGATGTACGCCTGGTAACCGTTCGCTTTCGGGAGATCTGGAAATGCATTATTATTTTTTTTAAAAAATGACAAATCAAGGTTACACTCGCCTTAAAAATATACATTATTCATGAATTTCCCTCGATCCAGCGCAGCAAAGGAAGGTTGGTGTCGGAGGGAGGCTCTGACTCAGGAGGACCAAAAAAAGTGCTGAATAACGGTTGTTCATTAAGGGTGCCACCAGTGGCTTGTGTCATCCTGGAGCGGGAGGGGGTCTCGAATTCGGCACCGGCACCTCCGCACTCCAGGTCTCGGGGGTCCTTGTGTCTCATCTGGGCGGGAAGAGTCATCTTTGCTCAGCGTTCAACAGCCCCAGAGGAGGCGGAGGCCGAGGGCGTGGAGAGGGAGCCGAGACTCACCCACTAACGTGGCCTGCTCAGCATCTCACTCTGGAGGATCACCCTCCCGATGAATATCAGGAGCGCCTTGCTAATGGAGAAACTTGTCCCGGCGGCACCTGTGTATTATTTTGGGGAGATCAAGGGCTCCACCTCTTCTGTCTCTTGAGTACCAAACTCAAAGCCGGACAGGCCTCCTCTGTGTCATTTCTGGCAAAAAAAATTCCGAGCATTGCTACCAGCTTCCCATGTGCTCATTATTTTGCATTTGAAAAAAAATAATAATAAGAAGAACCAACAAGAAGGAAAAAGAGCAAAAGCAGCCACATACAGACTGGTACGAATAATGCATCTGTTTATTATTTGTTTTATTCATAGGCTGCCTTTCCTCCGGTCGGCCAAGGAGGCAAACAGAGGCGGAGGCAGGCGCAGACGGAAAGCGACAGGAGGGTGGACAGGCACGCTTCGAAGTTGAACGGACAAAC